CCTCCTCCTCCTCCTCCTCCTCCTCCTCCTCCTCCTGATCCTTAATCATCCTCCTCTTTTGCAGTTTCCACATTCACTACCACCACAACCTCCTCCGTCTCCCCCGCGGGTGCTCAATAGAAGCCCTCTGGAGCACCCTGGAACCACCAAGAGCGCCCAAAATCATCATCAGTGTTCATGTCTTCCCCTCCTCCGACGCCTCCTCCTCCTCCTCCGGTTTCCCCCCCTCCTCTTCCTCCTCCTCCTCCTCCTTCTCCTCCTCCTCCCCCTCTCCACTTCCTCCCTCATGCATCGACTGTTGCCTCCTGTCCTCCCACCTCATCCTCCTTCCCGTCTGGCGACGACATCGACACAGGGAGGAAGGGAGAGTGGGAGAGAGTGAGGGGTGGAGGGTGGAAGTAGGAGAACGGAGGAGGAGGAAGGACGAAGAAAAATATGAGGACGACGACGACGACGACGACGACGATGACTTCCGCCAGCCTTGGAAACAACACAACCGTGTATCTCACGTGTTGTTGGTTTCATGATTGCTGATTGCCCGGCGTAGTTGATTCAATCATTTCCGTAAAAAAAATCGGGCAAGGTCATGTCCAAGATTTCCGAATTACTGCTGCCGACATCGCTATTTCCAAAGATGGCGCCGTGGCCACTTGCAAGCGCCATGTCATTCAACAGCATCGCGGCCTGTCTAACGGACGTGTTGATCTGGACCCAAGAACCGTTCGCATCGCTTCCGAACATCATCAGTACCCGTGGCGCAAGTTCGTTCGCCAGGAACCCCTTGCAACATGTTGTGTTCATTCGCCGTTAGCGCTCTCGAAGAGTTCCGCTGGCGTCGCCGCCCTCGTTCCACTGTCATTCACAAGGAGCTGTTCACGAAAACGACAAATACACGGCCCTGCCATCCCCAGGACCCACAAACAGGACGGCGACGATGACAACGACGACGATAGCCGGCCCCTGGACGGGGGTGGAGGAAGAGTGGGCGGCGGAGGAGCACACAGCCCCAGGGGACGACCGACGACGGCGGGACGACCAGTCATCCTCTCAGCGCCACGCAGGTGGCGGGCGGGGCGCGCCTCCGCAGCTGTAGGAGACGGGCACGGCAATGGCCACACGTACAGGCTAACTCTCTCGCGGGCGATACACGAGGCCACCACTTCGAGCTATGGCGAGCTGAGCAGCACAAATCAGAAGAGAGGCCGAGCGGAGGAAGCGGGAGCAAGGCGGGGGCGCGGGCGAAAGACGGGGGCACGGACGGGGGCTGACGCGCGTTGCACCAGCAGAAGCAGCGGGGACGGGAGACTGAGGTGCCAACAGAAGTCGGGGCATACGTGCACAGACGATTGGGAGCTAGATGCATCCAGTCTGACTGATGAGATGGCACGTGGAGCCATGGCCAAACTTCTTAAGCCGTTCCTTAAGGGTGGCCGATGGGGAAAAGTAAGAGAGAGAATGGCTAGTATACTCAGTTGCGCCCAGTAGCTTCCAGACGCCGACGGAGGGGATGGACGGGATGGAACTCATGGCATGGAAATACGAAATGGCGGCAAGGATAAACGAGGAGAGCCAGACCGGGTTCCACTTCCACGTTACACACACATTGCCAGCGACACTCTCGACCTCGGACAATTTCAGCGCATCGGTGAGGGTAGCGATCGACGGCAGAGCCTTGCGGGCGGACTGGGGGGCACCTTGGCTGGGGACGAAGAACAGGGCACCCTCCAGGAGCACCGCGGGGACCAATAAGTTGAGGCGTACCAAACACTTGCAGTATAAGCTGAAGTTAACGCGAATGTATAGCGCACGAGTCACGGCGATGATAAATCTAAAAATCCGCATCATCAGAAGCACCCAAGAGACCATACGACGGAGTAGAACAGGAAAGGCGGCAAGTACATCATAATATAGCCCCTGCATGTTGGCACCCATGATGCACAAACCACGACACTGGCCTACTCTCAAGGTACACAGTGCTCGCCACTACACCTGCCTGGGACGAAACCTCGCTGTTTTCCGACCACCGCCGAGGCAGCGACCCTGGAGACAGGGCGATTCAAGGCGAGCGAAACGACAGGGCGGCCCGAAATTCCGAAGAAAACGGCGCGACAAGCTTCAGGCTTGCGAATCAAGTGCGGGGGGGGGCAACATCTGGGTCGCTGCCCTTGGCTCGGAAAACGGACATCACCGGGGGCGTTCCCCTTCGACAACAGCTCGGAATAGATAAAGCCCAGTGAGCGACTCGACAACTGCTGGATCACCACGGGAGTAACCGCTGATAGGCAAACCGTTGGGCTCAGGGGGAGGGGCGGACGCCTGGGCAACCGGTTTTTCGACCTCATGGCGAACGAGCTTCCAGCGGACCCCAAGAGGACAGGGTCGAGCGAAATAATCCAGCAGTTGGCGGTCCTCGGTCGAGACCTGAACGCGCGAATGGACACGGCCCCAGTAGGTAGCCAGCTCGGCGGCGTCAGGGCCCGGCTCGGAGATGGCCTTGCCAGTCGGATCCGAGACGCCGTAAAGCGAGACATTGCAGTGCTTCCGCGCCCACCTGGTTTTGCATTTGCACTGCTAGCTTCGCGCCCCCTGACGGCAGACATACACGAACGCCAACCCTGGGAAACCAGCTTCAGGATAAGAACAAGTTTCTGGACCTGGAGGCGGGAATGGAAGCCGCTGAATTGGACCCACATGGCAGACGCGGGGTCAAGGAAGCACGCCAGCACGGGGCAGGCCTCGGCAGCTTTCTGAACAAGCCAAAGCTGCCCGCGAAGAGAGCCACGAAGGTCAGTGAGAGACCAAGTGCCTTTCTCAGCCACTGATTCGACGACCTGGCCGGCGCCGAAGCTCAATGCATCCCTGCCCGCCTGAACCTCCCCCCACCCACTCGACACCATGTGAACAAAAGCTGTTTGATCGATTTCGCACTGGTCCACAAAGATCGGCCAGGAGAAGCTGGCGGCGCAACTACACGAGCAACGCAACGCAACGCAGGTTTGAAAATTGCCTTCGCCGAAGGCAGGGAAGTTGAAACAGACCTGCATGAAGCTCGCGGAAGCGGAGCGAGGAAGAGTCCGAAGTACAATCATTAGCGACCGTTTATGTTCAGCAAGAAGAAGACGGGTGCAGAGGTGAACGCATGCGAGCCGCATCGCGCCTCGGTAGCGCCCGAGGGTTACAGACTGAATTCTGCCGGCGCCCCACACAGCGCAACGAAAATACTGGAACTGTTCGCGTAGCAGGGGATGCACCAAAAATAAGCACGCCTCCTGCAGACCAATCGTCGAAGAAAGACCCAATACCCCAAGAGCCGTAAACCTCGGAACGCAGCCGTAGAAAGTCACACTTAGTCCCCAAAGCCACCTGGCTAAAAACCCACATGGTACTCCTGGATGTAGGATACGAGGCGTGACATTATGCCCTTAGCGATGCCCAGGACAACAATGATTCTTCCAAAAAGCGAACGCGAGATCCAGGAAACGCTGCAGAGCAGAGACTCCCAATGAAATGGGGAATGGGTCCAGGAACAAGGAAACGGAGAAAAGCTTGACGGCCCGAACGGAGACGGCAGACAAGACGCCCCAGACGACGAGGAACGGGAACAAGACCGAGACGACCCAGATAAAGAGGAGGAGGAAGAGCTGGCACTAGCAAGTCTCTGCAGGGGCGGAGAGAAAGCATGCGGGATCCACATGCCCACTGATGGATCAGCGGCAGACTTCGTCGGCGTGGCGCGGCATCAGGAAGAGCGCGCGGCAGAGATCATCTTCGCGGCAAGCTCAGCGGAGAGGTTGACACTGGCGATCCCCACTGTGTTCGGAGCAATGTCGAACTGGCCGATGTCCAGCTCGTTAGCACGGAAGAGCAGAGCCGCGCACGACGTCGCTGGTGGCAAAGGAAATGATGCCGCGAAATCCATTGACCCCGAGCATGTATGTAGAGTCGTTCCACTGCCCTGTTTGACGGAGGTGTGTGTAGACCTGCTGCCAGATCTTTCCTGAGGTCTTAGTATTGTGGCGAACTGGTATGAGCGTACCGCGCCTGCAACGAAGCTGGATCTGTTCACCAGAATGTGGGTCATCTCATAAGATACTAGGAGCCCGTGCGTAATCGATGAACGAGGCAGCGTCGACGTTGCTCGCGAACGTGACTGAACAGCTCGTGGCGAAGTTGTGGCCCTTGACCGTGATCCCCGACTGCTCGATATGAACGGGTAGATTCTGCAACAGTGAGGCACCGTGAGATTCGAGTAATTGTTTGAGCATGGGCCGCGTGAAGCCACCGATCGAGACCTTCAGCGGGTCGAAGTCGTCCTCGGCGGAGTGGCTGATGCTGCTGCCTGGGGGAGAGGTAGAGGCAGGACTGCCAAGCCGACGACGCGTGGACGGAGGACCAGTACTCGCTGAACCTGAGCTCGCCGAAGACTGAGACCTTTCGATGGCAGCAATTCGTGTTTCCATTTGCGTGCGGAGGGAGGCAAGGGTGGCCGTGTCGGACGAGGCGGCCATGTTGGTCTCGAGCGCGTTGAACCTCTGAGTCAGCACGTTCATTGCTTTGTTATGGACGGAAAGACTGGCACGAATGTTGTCGACCGTGGCGACGGATGTCTCGACAGCGGCCAAGCGAGAATTGACTCCACCGAGTTGAGCGAGGATCTGCTTGATGCCGTCCTCGATGGCAGTCATGGCAAGAGGACTGGAGGAACGGAGCAAAATTGGGAGTGCCCGCCCAGGCACGACACCTGGGATGGCTCCAAAAGAGCTGCCCACTCAAATCGCGGATTGCCCTGCAACTTGAGCCAAAATGGCTACGGAAGTGGGTGGCGGAGGAAGCGGAGGAAGAAGAGCACAACGACGACGAAGACAACAACGACAACAGGTAGCAGGACCACGAGGGAGGAGGAAGCGGAGGTGGAGGAGCGGGGGGGGGAGGGTGGTGGGAGCGCCGACAACTCGCCGACGACTAGAACGACGCCTGGTCGAACGACTCGAACGACTCGCGGGGACGACGACGCCCCGTCGACGACTCGAGAGCGGCGACGACGACAACGACGGCGGCGGCGGCGGCGACGACGACGACGACGGCGGCGGCGGCGAAGCCGGCGGCGGCGGCCCACGGCGGCGCCGGCTCGCCGCCCTGGAGCTCGCGCTGGAGCACTAACAGGCGCAGGACGCACTCCTCCACCTGGCAGCGCTAAAGCGACGACGACGACGACGACGACGACGACGACGTTACGAAGTAAACTTCTTCCGCCTTTGGGGGCGCCCGTCACCAGCGGCCGTCGAGCGGATCAGGACAGGGGGCCAGACTTTTTTCCGTCGCAGCGCGGCAAGGGCAGTCCGCACGCGCGCTCAGCAAGCTGGATGGCGGCATTGCGAATGGCCCAGACCCAAGAGGCAACGGAGGAGAGGAGACGGACAGGAGGCCATACATGGCAAGCGTCGGGGTCCAAGTGGCGAGGCAATGGCCGAGCCAGCAGTGTCAAACAGACAAGCGCGTTCCACGACTCGCACAGTAACTACTCGCCAATGGCCCAGATCCGTTGCGGAGGATGTACGATCCATTACAACACGTTTGCGAATCCGCACTTTGCAAATAGTGGGACGCGCTCAGTGACGAGAGGGGACTCGGCCGGGGGGGAATCCCATCGCCAGCGACGCTGGCAGGTGCGGCGGAGGATAGAGATCCGTGCCAGACAGCGTTGGTTATTCTATCACGCCTCGACGTGCAGGTGGGCACGGTGCTGGTGGCGAGGGCGGGGTACAGGCGACGCATGTGAGAAGAATGCGCGGTGAGAATGAAAAGCCCCTTGGACACGCGCGCCATGCCATGCGCGCTGGCTGCACAAGGTCAGACAGCACACTCACACACACAAACTCTCTCACACACACACACACACACACACACACACACACACACACACGCACACACACACACACACACACACAAAAACTTTCAAGTCGGCGGCGCAGAGGGTCCTCAGGCGCGGGCAGCAGATGTAGGTGCGATCGAGCATTCACTGTAAAGTGCAACACGCAGCACACACACACAGCATGAGCGGGCAGCGGAACGTCGCCGCCACAGCGGCGGGGAAGGGCGCCCGCCTCCGAAGGCGGCTGAAAAGCGCTAAACCCCACCTTGCCACTGGCAGGGGTCGAACAAAAAACTTCCCAGCCGCCCTGGGCCGGACGCTTCCGTCGCCTGGACGATGGGTTCGTCCTGGACCGCAGGATACAAGCGCCTGCTCAGCCAGCCTCGTACTCCACCTCCTGGATCGCAGTTGTCATGTGCCTGCTTGGACGTGGAGGTGGACTGTCGTCGTCTGCTTCGTCGCTGTCGTGACAAACAGGTGGGTAAGGAATGTCATCCTCGTCTTTGTCGAGGGCCCCCCATAAGCCACGTACGTCTTTCTCGTCGACGTCGAAGTGATCGGGGGGAATGCCCCAAGGATCGTCAAGTTCATCGTAGTACCCTGGCCCTGGTGGGCCTTGGGAAGGGGGTGGGCCACTGGGTGTGCTTGGTGGCTAGTCCCCGCCGCCCCCTGTAGTGGAGCGGGTTTGGTTTCACAGCCAGTGGAGTGCCGATCTTGACTGCCCGGGTCGTCTGTCGGGCAGCGGAACATGTGTGGTGACGTCGGTCGTAGATCAGCATCGATGGCGTTCTGTGGTATAGAGTGCAAGCGGCTCCCGCTGTTGCCAGCTCGTCGGCGTGACGGCGGAAGGCCTAAACGATGTGTGAGATGAGGCCTTCGCTGGTGCCTTGCTCTCCGATGTGGCGTTCGACTTTTTGAACCTTGAACATGTCAGGTTTGGCTTGGATCACCCGACGGATTCTTTGCCAGAGGTCGGCCTGTGGGCCCTCGGCTTGCGGGGATTGCGTTCGAGGAGAGCTCCGAGCTCGTCGACTGCAGCCTGGCTGTGGACGGAGATGTGGACGGGCCGCCCTGCCGCGGCGGTGAGGGAAAGGAGCGCCAGGGTATCCTCGCGGCGTGCTGACTGCACCAGGCCGTGAAGTCGGGCAGAGTGGTCAAGCCGGTGCCCTGGTCCGTAGGACGCGCCGAACCCTGCCCTGGCGAGGACGTGATGGGCCTGGTGCGGGTACGCCCCGTCGGTGGCTGCGTCGTGTGGGGGGGGAGGGGAATAAGGGAGGGCCTTCCCCTTCGTCACCAAAGGTGGAGAATAAGCTTGGACCTCGATGGCTACAGGCCCACAGCACTGAACCTGACCCTTCCTCCGCCTCCTCCTCTCCTCCTCCTCCTCCTCCTCCTCCTCCTCCTCCTCCTCCTCCTCCTCCTCCTCCTCCTCCTCCTCCTCCTAATCATCACTACCACCTTCCTCGTCATCAGCATCCTCATCATCAGTATCATCGACTCCATCATCATGATATTAATCCCCCTGGTCTCCACGATCCTCCCCATGCTCTCCTCCTCCTCCTCCTCCTCCTCCTCCTCCTCCTCCTGATCTTTCAATCGTCATCGTCATTGAGGGAAGGAGGGAGGGAGGGAGGGAGGGAGGGAGGAAGACAGGGAGGGAGAGAAGGAGAGAGAGTCGAATCACAACACTCCGAGCGCCCCGGATCGGCGGCACGGGCTGGAGGCCATTACAATAGTATGTTAGATATATGATGTACGAAAGCTGATAGAGAATGCCTGGGGAAACAAGCAGGCATGCAGGTAGACAGGCAAAGAGGCGACGAGACAAACACACTGCATGTGCCCCTGAATCGCATGGCCGTTCTGCTGCGCCTCCACAGTTCTCGAATGAGCGGGTTGACGAGACACCCACGAAAAGCACCGCTGGCAAGTTTAGCGCGCCTTGAACGAGGCAGGGAAGGACACACAGTCCACCGCAGCGAAGAGCATGAATGGCATCTGCAGCAGCAAGTTCGAACCCTCTCGCACATGAGCCACCTTCGACACGGGAGAGATGCCGAGGCCGTTCAGCTCCCCCGTGGCTGCCTTCGCGCAAGGCCGGCTGTCTCGCACCCTTCCAGCCTCGGACATCATCCTGCCCTGTTTGCCTTGGCGGCGCGCAGAGGGGGGCAGGGGATGGGGGGAAGGCTTCTTAGAAGGGGGCTGCTTCTTAGAAGGCGCGGGCCTTACATCTACAGACAAAGCACGCGCCTTCTGAGAAGCAGGGGTGTTTCTGAGAAGCCTCGCCCCCTCCCCCATACCCCCCCGCTGCCCGTGGCCGTTTGCCTCCTGTCTACCCGACCGCAATGACATGTGAGCGTGTTCTTGTTCGGCGTTTCGACATTGGGCGGAAGGGGTGAGGGAGGGAGGGGGGGGGTCTGGCTCTGGACCTGTGCTTGAAGCGACCGTTTGCAACAGTGCGTCCTGTGGGGGAGACTCTGCCTGCTCGAAACAAGCGTCGAAAACAGCAAAGATATACTCCATGGGAGGGGGGGGGGGGGGGGGGGGGGGGCGAGGGCCCGCGCCGATCGGCAAAACACTGAATAAAAAAACGATCACCATTGCACTGCACTGCATGAAGCAATTTGCTGGCCGATTCGCATCACACGCCAGAGCGTCGTTCCCCGTTCAAGTTCTCCAGATGCAGCTCGATACCAGTGAGCGCGTACGTCGGTAAATGTCTGTAGAATCAACAAAACGCTCAAATGCAAGATAACAGAGGCGGGCAAAACAACGAATAGTACAAGACAGACTACACGAGGTAGATTTTACGGCGTTCAGCCGAAGAGTTGAGAGTGAGCGTAGTCAGTGTCCAGTCGGATGACAACCATTTCTCTGAGCAGGACTCTGCTGTGGTTTTGGTAACAGATGCACTGGAGCAGCTCCTCCTCCCCGACGTCCTCCTCATCATCGTCCCCCAGAGACTCTCCCTGCCCTCCTCCGCCCACTCCTCGGCCCTCCGCCCCCTCCTTCTCCCCACATTCTCCTCCCCCCCCTGCTCCGCTTCCCCCTGCGTCACCCGGGATTGGAACTGCTGGCTGTGAGGCCGCACAGCGCGGCTCTGAAACACACGACAGCTTCGAGGGCTGCTGCGAGCAAGCAGTGGCACTGACTATGGTCAGGAACTTCTGCACAGCGTGTCGCGGCAGCGGCCCCGGCGACACGCCCTGGCTTGAGAAGCGAATAGCGTGCCGCCCGGCTCCGCAAGGCGGGAGGCTGGGAACAGCTCGGGACGTTCCAGCGTGCGGACTGGGAAGTGGATAGCGTGTCGCGCCGAACCATGCTGAGCCAGAACCGGCGAAGCGACACGCTGTCCAAAGATCCCAGACCGTAGCACACATGAGAAGCATCATCCTCACGCTTCTCATCGCCACCATACGTAATCACAGACTTGTTATTATTATGCTTATTATTATGGTTCGCGTTAGTCTTCTCATTATTACGTATGTTAAAATTATTGTCTTATTGTTCCTCCTATGTTCATACTGTTCCTCCTCTTCCTCCTCCTCCTCCTCATCTTCATCATCATATTTCTCCTTCCCCCATTCCTTTTTCCTCCTCCACCCGTTCCTCCTCGTCTTCCTCCTCCTCCTCCTCCCCTCTCATTATTCTTCCTGTCGCTGTCCTCATCGATCTCCCGTACGCTGCTGTTTCCATTCCAACTGCTCTTTCCTTCATCCTGTTACACATCCCCCACCATCTCTCCTCCTCCACCCCCTTCCCCCTTCTCCCCCCCCATCTCGCTTCATCTTCCTCCACCTATGCCTCCGACTCCCCTTATGACAGACGACGGCAACAACGACGACAAAACATACGATGACGACCTGTGACGACGACGAGGACGACGACGACGACGACAATGGATACGACGACGGCC